ACCTCTCTTTGTGCTTTTCATCAGTAAAGATCAAAGCACTTTACAAAGCAGGTAAGCGTCATTATCCCCAGCAATGGGAACACAGAGGTGAGCTGACTTGCTCCAGGTTATCCAGGAGGTCAGTGGCAAAATCAGGAATAAAAGGGTTCCAGAGATCCAGTCCACTCACCACACTATATTCTATATTGGATATAAAACCTGAGTGTGTTTCCTTAGCTGCATTGTCTAATGTGCACATGTCTGTGAGTGTGTGTGTGCACATGTATGTATGTATGTATGTATAGGTTTGTACATTCCAATGCCAGAAGGGACCATTGTGATCATCTAGTCTGACCTCCTGTATAACACAGGTCACAGAACTTCCCCAAAATCATTCCTAGAGCAGATCCTTTAGAAAAAACATCCAATCTCCATTTGAAAATTTCCAGTGATAGAGAAATCCACCAGGACCTTTGATAAATTGTTCCTATGGTTAATTACTCTCACTGTGGAAAAAATTACCCCTTATTTCCAATCTGTTTTTGTCTAGCTTCAACTTTCAGCCCCTGGTTCATGTTACACTTTTCTCTGCTAGACTGAAGATTCCATTTTCAAATATGTGTTCCTCACGTAGGTACTTATCGATTGTAATCAAGTCACCCCACTAACTTTCTCTTTAAGCTAAATGGATTGAGTTCCTTGAGGCTCTCACTATAAGGCATGTTTTCTAATCCTTCTCATGGCTCTTCTCTGAACCCTCTCCAATTTGCCAACATCCTTCCTAAATTGGGGGTACCAGAACTGGACACAGGATTCCATCAGCGGTCGCACCAGTGCCAAATACAGAGGTAAAATAACCCCTACTTGAGATTCCCCTGTTTATGCATCCGAGGATTGCTTTTGGCTACAGCGTTGCACTGGGAGCTCATGTTCCTCCCAAATCTTTTTCAGAGTTGCTGCTTCCCAGGATAGAATCCTCCATCCTGTAAGTATGACCGACATTCTTTATTCCCCAAATTGACTTACATGTATAATCTGTCTCTTACACATCACTGAGGATTTCCTAAATGGGATCAGAATCAAGCCCGTGGTTTGCAGCTGGCAGTGGGCCTTGGATTTCCCATTCTAACCAGCGGCTCCAGTGATGTAATAGAGGGAGTTATCATAAATCCCTTGTCTAAATTCCACCACCAGATTAAAGGGAGGTTTGGGGCTGATTGGCCTGTCTCTGACAGCCTTCAGCCCTTCTCTGGGTAGCTAAATCATCCCAGCTAGGTGTGATTCGTATCCACAGGGCTCATTTAAAAAAATAATCTCTGAAAAGCAATTTTGTTGCTTTTGGCCTGCACCGGTGTCAGGGATTTTAGAAAAAACAATGCCCTTGGGAAGGTTATCCCAGGATTCCTCTGCAAGGTCTTCACCCTCTGTTTCATATTGCACAGCTTCAGCGGGGTGCTCTGTGGGTGTGTAACATGTATGAATGAAGAATGAAGTTAAAGCATTTCCAGCACATGGCACTTAAATCAAGTGTCTTTGCCAAGTGGTTAGGCCTCCCTTCTTGGCTAGGGTTAAGAGAGCGTGTTTGGATTTTAAGTGGCAAAACCAGTTAATAGATTCCTTCCTGCATCCTCTCTCGTCTTTGCAGGGCGCGCACACACAGACCCCAGGGGTTATCATAAAGGTAAAGGGAGAGGAGGAGAGACACATCTGGGGAGTGCCTTGTTAAAATACAGGTGACCTATCACTAGGGCCTCTTGTAATTCTGGAGGCAAAATGTCACGTGACACAGATGCTGCCCCACATACCATGCAACAAGATGGGGCACTGCCCTATTTGCCACCTGTAAACTCCGTGTTACTCTCGTTGGTGCCAGAGCTGGCTTAACGCTAGTGTGATTCTCCATGGACTTCAGTGGAGTAACTCCTGGCTTACAGAGGTGCAGTGACATCAGAATCAAGCCCATGGATTTCAGCCGGTGATGGGCCTCCCCGACTTGTGACTCTAGAGGGCAGCAGGGAGCTGCTGTATGGCTACATCTGGGGGGATTGTCTGCTGCTGATGGAGATGAAGATCAGTGACCTGTAGCTGGATTTCTTTATGGTGAATTACTGAAAATGTGCTATGCCACCAGGGATGCCCCTCCCTTTTGGGGGGTGGGGGTGGATTTTGGTTTGGTGGCCAAAAACTATTTCAGAAACATGGTATTGTATATGGCCTGTAGCAACTAAAGGTCCCATAGCATTTTTTTTAAATAGGAAAGGAATGTTTATGTTGGTATCCTGGCAAAATTCCCATATGGGTAACTACATTCTATCTACCCCAAAATTCCCCATGCAGCGTCAGCGGGATGTAGCACTGATTTGTTGTGTAGGGTGGTTATGCACTGTTATAACAGTTCCCATGTTCCACTCCAGAGACAGCTGCATTGTTTGTTCTGGTAGATACATAATTGACAAAGTGCTTTGGAATGGAGGTAAATTTAAGGTATTAATCTAGTCAAGAGAATGATTTGCTATGCTGGAGAATGTTTCAATTATTTCTCCCCGGGAGTTCCTCCCCAAATTGGCTTGTTTGATAATCTTGGTCCAAGAAAACTCTAGAGAGAAGAGACTTCTTGCTTCTGCTCCAAGGTGGTTGTGGATCTGACTTCTCTTTCATCAGGAGCAAGGACTCTAGGAAAAGCCCCTTCTCCCCCCCCATCTCCATGCCTGGAGGCTTCCCAGCTCTGATCTGAAGGGACTTATATTTCACCTCCATACTGAGGGAATGATGTCTCTAATTTCACCTCCCTTCCTCTGCCGAGGCTGAGTATCATTTCATAAAAATAACACAGAAAGCAACTAGACTCTGGGAAAAAAAATAATTATGGGAAAAACAAATCAGTGCCAAAGGGGCTTTTGTGAAAATATCAGGTTTGGAGAGAAGGCTGCTGAGTTTGGGACATGCGCCCTTCTGTCCTTTCGCTGGGCAGGCTAGGTCTGCAATACAATCTCAAGCATGTTTATTTCCTTTCAAACCTCTGGCTTCCCATGGAAATGCTACCCTCCCCCATTTATTAGGAAGTGTTTGGGTATCTTTTCCCTCTTTGTGTTCAGTGTGTGTGTGTGTGGGGGAAACACATTATTATGCTTTATTTTCTCAAGAGTTTTCTCTCTCAGCCCTGTTTTTTTTTATGTGCTCCCAAACGTCATCACTTGAGCCGTCTGCTAGACCCTTTATCCCACTCTTAATCTCATCTGTAGACTGCAGAATTTGCAGTGCAGGTTTGTTTGATCATTTATTTGTAAATTCCTCCATGCAGGGCCTCATGTCTGTCTGTCTCTCTTGTAAAGCAGCGTGTGTACATTGATGGCACGAACAATAAATCTGTAGGAGAGGGAATTTTGATCTTACTCGGTCAATCCTTGGTCTCTCTGTGGAGATAGTGCCATTTGTGATGGGAGTTCATGTGATGTGGATGTGCATTCATTAGGAATTGGACAGCAACTCACCAGCTGACTTCATGAGGGGTAATAACTTTTGGTTAGGAGGCCAGATTTGAACCACCAAACTAGAGAGGAAAGGGTTCATGTTTTATTAGCAATCTACCATAGTCACGCCTCCGTAACGATTAGCGCTGATCAGAAATGTTCGGATGAAACCGTTTAGTTTGAAAATGCCAATTCATAGAACCCCCAGGGTTTCTTGGAACCATCTTGGATTCAATGGAGTTTCAGCAAATCAAAGGCAGGGTTCCATGGGAAATTTGCGTGGTTTCCTGCCAACTCACCGGGTGGGCTGCTGGGGGAGCTTCCTCTTCCAGTTTCCAGGCTCTCTGCCATGGAGTAGGAAGTGTGGAAGTCCTGGGATGAGCTCCCACAGTCCATGGGTGTGGGACTCGGGGGCCAGCTAGGAGTCCAGCAGCTGCTCAGTGAAATTGACATTTATTATTGAGACAAGGTGGATGAAGTAATCTCTTTTGCTGGACCAACTTCTGATGGTGAGAGAGACAAGCTTTCATTCCTGCGAATACAGAACAAAACCACATTTTGAAATAACAAAATTTCCCGTGAACCGGAAATCCCACGTTTCAGCCAGCTCTAA